TAGATACCTTGCCACGGTTTGATTTGAATTCAGTCATCGTCGTGGCTGGTAATTAGAGTTTCTCCGTTTATTCCATCAGTTCTATGCCCCAAATAAACATGTGCTATCTACCTCCCAAAGACAAATAATAACTGGATTCGAGCCGAGTTTACCTTTGAATGTTTAGGGTGCATGTTGTATATCAGCCGGAAGCAGTAAACTTCTTAGAACTTGGACTAGTAAACGCGTGTTTTGGTTTATTACAATTATCCGGAGTAGTTGATTGAGAGAAAGATACAGGGTGACAGTTAACCTCAAAAATATATTTGAAACAAAAACACGGTTGTGTTGTAGAAGAAACAAATATTCTAGCTTTTGTTTGCACGACCCTTATAATTTTTTTAGGTACAACTGTTTCATACTTGCTTTGAAGATCTGAACCCGCATTTGCTTAACGACACACAGTGGAAATATGCCGTAATAACGACTTATCTTCCTATAAATAAACTTGAAAAATTGAGTTTGATTATAAAATTACATAGCCGGTTTCCTAACAACACGCAAGTCGATGTAATGCATTGGGAGAGACTATTAATAACACTATGGAACACGGACAGCTCTTAGCCAGAGGGTGGCAGCTATTTTATTGCTTGACGGGCACTGATTGTCGACCGTTTTAGCGAAGTTAAATGATTTCTTAGACGTTCGAGTACGTACTTTAAAGGTGCACGATTTTAAGAAGGGTAAAATTTCTGTTTGCCTTACATTTTCATACAAGAATTCCTGAAATATTCATAGGGAGCTGTTCGGAAATATTTCATTAACGCCTACAAATATGTACCTACTTGAAAGTTGGCTAACTCGTAATTTCGTTCAGAACATTATTAAATGCTGGATCAGATTTACAAAGATACATAAATCTTTCATATTTATTTTAAATATTTCATTATAATGACTTAATTTTCATTAAAAATTTCAGTTACAATACACTCTCTTTTACAATCACCCACCAGGGTATTTCAAACACAACATTATTGAACAAAACATCAGCAAAATAATTTCATCCACTAATTATTTTTCTTTCTCGCGCGCACTTCCAATTAGTAGATATAGCTCCAGCTCGTAAAATTTTATACCTATGCCGTTCGAAACACCCTTATTACGTAATAACAACTACCGCGTAAATTAGTGGGTTCTAATTTTTTTATTCGAACCTGCAATCAAAGGTAAACGTTAATTGGAATTTCGCTACGAGGAATTCTTGAACACAATACCTGACACTTTTTACGGTAATTAGTAACATTTATTTTAATTAAAAGAACTTGCTGAGGGGTCTAGTTACGATGTGTGGCCTCATTAGCGGACGAGTTTTATTTGTTCTATTGGTAATATTCATCGAATGGTGGCTAATGGACTTTTATTACTTTTATCTTAATAACCTGATGACCGACCATTTACTTTGATATTATGGAAATATATATTTAAAGCATAAAATTGTTCTATGGAATTCGCATAAATAAAAGTATCCGTATAAACCCGCCTATTGCATCGGTATTAATATGTATATAAATATTTGATGGAATACGTACGCTAATTAATTAATGGAATAACTTTGTAAATGCCCCTTTTGTTGTATGTTATTTAATGAAACATTATTTGATTATGAATTCAGTGTAATATTTCAGTGAAATTTAATATCCCCGAACGCATTTGAATTGCAAATAAAATGTTTTATTAAAATATAATCGTCGCATTTACATTAATTAAAAAAAGTTTAATACTCGAGTTGTTCAAAATAAAGTTAATTTAACAATAATTATTTCAAAATTGGTTTGTTAAATGTGTTTCAATCGATTACTTCTATTTTTGGAACAGCTAAATGCATTCCTGTTCCCCTTTCAGGGCTTGAGAACATCGAACACGTTACCTGTAACAAATTTCAAGACGATATAGCACAAAGGGTGTACTAATCAAGTTATTTCATCCACGACGCGGTAATAGGCAGGTGTCCCTTTGTCAAGTACAATTTCTGAATGCGTAAGTGTCGAAAATGATACCTTATAAATTAATACAGAAATGTATTATTACACATAACAATTCAAAAAGTGTGTGAAGTTTTCAACAATATGTAGTTATATGTACTTGTTCTTTCTGAAAAATACTTGAAAATGTTTTCTGTGTTCATTGGTATTAGAACTCGCCATCTGTGGAGAGTCGGTGGAACTCGGGAAAACCCAGCGTCGAGACGCCTGAAAACCTCGCGATGAATAGTCCTTTTAGTTCAACACGCAACACCCAGATGGCGCGTATTGTGAAATGTAGTCCGCATAAATGAAAGCAGAAAACTCTGCTTCTAGCTGAAATTGCTACTAAATCCTAAAGCCAGTTTCCTAGATAAATCTTTAAGAGGTCTAAAATAAAAATTATCAAGTATGTATTCTTGTCTCTAACAGTCACTTTGGTCAACGATAACTAAACCGGACTATTTCTACTTTACTTTTTCTAGTGGCCTTTTTTAAATGGAATTTTATTTCGTATTGGGAAATTAAGAAAGGCCGAAACCATTAGTTTTTCTGAACAAAATCAAATTACTGAGCTAATTTGTCAACATGTCCAAGTTATGTTGAACCGACCCCCCATTCTCCAATGCCATATGCACTCCTTGTACGTAAGTACCATCAATCAAAAGGGAAATATCTCACGATCAAATTATCTGCTCCCTAAATATAACGAAACGAAAAAAAAAACAATAAAGCGATTTAAAATTTAAGTCACGTAAGAATACTTTCCATGGCTATAAATCATTGAGATCTTTAGCCTCCCTATAGTTTAGCATAAGTCGCACAGAGGCGTAGTTCCAGGGGGAAATTGACTGAAAAATCGATAGCAGGGCACTTACAGTGCTCGTTAAATTTTCACAACTATTTCTCTTGCGTACAATTCACTTGCTGTGACATCTTTTTACGTTAATTATATAAAATTACGCTAATTAAGGTCACGTTAAGAAGTTTTTAATTTTTGCTATTCGTATATTGAAAGACAATGCTGTCAAAGAATTAGTCATCTTTAAATTATTTTATTTGTTCTGACCATTAAATAAAAAAATACGTTAAATGAATCCATTAGGTCAACTGATTCGACACGCACTGTTGCCACATTGTGATAAAATTCTGTGAATCTTACGCTCATGTAATAAACAGCCTTTTTGTTCATTTATGCTTAATCTATCTTAAACTGAAGCTACGAAAGTCAAATTTCTAACATACCAAATGTATTTATAACACGCTGTATGCAGCAATAATATCTTTATATCAACGTTGCTTAACATTTTTGGTTTAAATTTGAATTATACAATGAATATTCTAATTGACGTAAAACTAAATTTTGGAAAACTAAATATAACTAAAGAGATTTTTCTGAAAACACTTTCGCGCGCTCTTGAGCCACCCCCCCTAGTGCCACCCCCGCGTTTTACACTCATAATTGATTAACCCCGGCTATGAATGGAATTCGGCGTGTCTCTTGTAAATAAGAAAACGGCATCTATAGGGCCGCGGAGTGACTCAGGCTCGAGCAGCGCCTCCGTGACGTAATGACCCGTGAAGCGAAGGGGTTAATTGGAAAAATAACGCCCGTTGAGAATTTTGATGAATTAAAAGTCGGAATTAGGGTGCCTAATTGATGGCACTCGATTTTACGCTTTGATTTATGGGATTTTTTTCTCTAGGCATCAGACAACCTTCCTTAAATTATTGAAAAATCTAAATATATTGACAATTTTCAGATATTTAATAGTATTTGGGGTTAGGTAAAAAAAAACGAAAATTTTCTTGATTACTTCAGGCCAGAAATTGAAATAATTTTGATTTTCGAGTTTCAGAAATATTTAAAAAAACTAGTCACCGGGTGATTAAGAAAACACTCATCTCCTGTTTTTTTTCATTGTATTTCACTATTTTACCACTAAATTAACAGTCACGTGACATATCTTCATGTTTCTCCAAAGATACAGATTCATCAAATATATTTATAAAATTATTAAATTACTATTACTATTAGGTACTATTATAATCATTTTCAAGTGATTTAATATTAATTTTTCTTAAACAACTAAAATGAAGGTTTCGCCAAGAACAACTACTTACTACTATTTAATATTTTATTTAAGTACGTATGGAATTTAAATATAAAACTACATACCTGTATAAAACTACATACTGATTTTAGTGATATTTTATTCTTATGTGAAGCTATAACACCACACTCAACTTGCATATGAGCTGCTAGAAACTAGAAATTTAAATAAAACTAACTGTACCCATAATGTATGTGATGTCGATTGCAAATGTTACCAAAAAGAGTTTAGCAAAATGCATGACAGTTGTATAAGACAGAGAACACATAAATTACGGGTTAGTTAATAAAAATGTACCGATTTCACTATTCGATACAAACGACGATAAATTTATACATTGATGAAACTTCTCGCTACTAACTGGATGCCGCTGTAAGGTCCGTACCTACTAATTTGCCATTCTAGTCGAGTAAAAGTGTCCTCATTATTCGGCATGCCCGAAAAAAGACGCATTTGGAATTAATTTGTGCGACGATCGGTAGTAATGAGCAACCTTTCCTTGTTTATAGAATTTTTAATAGTTACATTGTTAAGGGTCCAAAATTAATCGTATTCTCAATAAACTAAAACAAATAGTACTTACAATTAATATTACGGACTTAATTATAATTAATTGGAATTAATTATAATTAACTTTATTAATAATTAACAATTTCTTAGTATTTTACTATTTATAAATTATTTTTCACACACAACTTTACGTCTATCACTATCTGATGCATTTTTAAGTGAGGTATTGAGTTTTTTGTGGATATTTAGTAATTTCCCCTGTCGACTGGCGTAATTGCTATTTAAATAAGATGAAAAGCACGTACCGCAATCACACTGAGTCTTATCATTTTGCAGATCTACTTCGAAAGATACGGAGTCGACGAAAAATCATCCCTCGTCAGTTGGGTCCGACATACCGAAGCTTATCACAAAAGCCTCCTACAAGGTGCTGGATAACGACGTCAAAACGGCATGGATAAATCCGAGGCTGCTCTCTAAGGTAAATAATTGGCTTTTAGATGTGCCCTAAGCAAAATTAGATAGAGGTTATTCAATTCGTTCATTCACTTTTGAGCTTGCTACGCCTGTTTAAAGTATATTTTAACTGTAGTACTGATATTTCACTTAAAAGTTATACGTATATACGGGGTGTCCCAATATTCCGTGTACACGGAACTACCACAGTTTTTTGCAACTTAAATAAGAAAATTTAACTAAACTTATCTCTATCCTTAGTTGCTTTGAGTTTAACATCGTGGTTTTAACCAAACATTTTTTATTTTCAAATAACGGGAGGACCTTCTGTCTTGGCAATGCGGTGCAATATGTCGCGGTAGAGCCGACACTAAAATTTAATCATCAATAAAGCCCGCGTAATAGTAAGGAAATAACCATTTCAATTAAGGCGTAACACCCGAAGTCTGGTTGCACTGTCACTGTCGCCAATAACTCCATACGCACTTTTACGATAATTGCGATTCGGGCCTCATTACTTGATTATTTGTATTGAGGGGGGGAATCCATTATCGGGGCCGCCTTGATTAAGATATAAATCATCACCTAACAGCTCCGGCGCATTCCGGCGGTAACTTGATCGCACGGAGAAAATTAAAAGCCGTATTAAAACGCGACTTCTGAGGCCGGCGGCGTACGCAATTTAAAATTATTTTTCGTCCGTCGCGGAAAAAATACTGCTCCGTTAAATTAAATAGAGGATCTCGGTGCCTAACGTATCTATTTGTTTTTGTTCGAACATGTGGGATTACTTAGTGGATGAGTTAGTTGGCATGTGAGGTAGAAAAAATATGTGAACAGCGCTGCTGACAATAAAAGCCTCAACATCGGAAAGCATCGTAACTCATAAAACGTAAAACCCGAACGTAAATAAACTTGTAGTTATGTGACGCTTTTTCGGGAGATTTTTTCTCGTATTCATGTATCCGAGTAGGGACTGTCACCTACTGCTCCAATTCTTTCAGTTTCCTCATCGATTATAAAGTTATAAAAGCGTTTGCGATCTAAAACTTATAAAGGAGTTAGTTTGGGTCGGAAATATTTTATAGTCCACGTCTGTACAATAATAATTGATAGATTACCGAGTATATATGTACCTTTAGTAATGATTATTGCCCTGGCATACATAAAACAGATTAAGATTTACAAACCTTGCCGCAGGAAATATAAAAGGATATGAAGAATCTTCGTATTGACTTTATGCTTCTAGTAAATGTACCTACATCTAAGAAGAGACGGAAATCATTCGATTTTATGGGCATGGATGATGGACGTGGATGTGAGCTGCACCTCCGGTTATTGTTAGCTGTGCGCTGGTGAAAATATTACTGATAAATTATTCATTACCCGCAATTATGGGAGACGGCAAATTGAAATGATTGATGGAATGGTTCTGTTTCTGCTCAAGTGAAAGAAAATTCGTTAGAATTGACTTTGGATACAAAATAATTATCTGTCGATGGCAGTGAAAATATCAGTTAGAAAGTGAAGGTCATGAATGGGATTTTAATTATAATTAACGATCACAGTAGTGTCTAAAAGATTTTTCTTATTTACGGTTACAATCCATAAATTCTATTTTATAAAATTTATGGTCAGTTTAATAGCGTAATATAGTAATCAATTCACATAAAACAGAATTTAACTCCCCTGGCTTCTGATTAAACACTATATTTAAGCAATTTATTGTTAATCTATTCCGAATTGAGCTGTTGGTTCTTATGTTGCACGTTAAAAACCTTACTGTACAACGTGATTTAAGATAGAGTTGCGTCATTTTTATGGCTGGACTAAACTTTGTATAATAAGTAATTTTTCTTGGATGTCGGTGACTAACTGGAAGATATATAAAAGAGATTTACTATTAGGTTTACCGTATCATGAAATATGATGTTTCGGGGACTGAGATCAGTGCATATAAAATTTTAGATTCGAACAGTTCGTTCTGTATCAAAATTATGTTTGGAATTGAATTTATCATTTAAAAGTTGTATCCTGAAAAGTAAACGAGACACGGTCTGGTCTGTCGTCTATATCAATTTCGCGATGTGGATTTTCCAAAGAGTTACTTGGATTTTGAATGAAAGATAGATTTAGGCCGGTTTTGGTGCCCTCCAACTCCTGCTACAACAACACAATTTGTCCTTTTTACTGTTTCATTAATGAAAACTGTATTTCTTTCAATATAAATCAGAGATTTGTTTGTAATTTTGTTCTTTTTTATTGTAATTTTATTGTTATGTACATATATTTTTGTATTGTTAAATATTTATTCATTCTGGGATCCCTATCATATAATTCGGTTTTCTTCCCGTTGTACGAACTAAATTAATTTAATAAATAAATAATATTATGATAAAAATTAATTACAGGTATTATAGCTATAATTTTCGAACCCATTATCAAATTTGAAGATAAAAAAGGATGCCTATACAGCACGGATACACCTAATATCCGTTTTTTTCCACTTTTATCGCCTAAATAACTACTTATCTACGTGTCTGGAGAGCTCCAGGTCAATTTTAGGACCGCAGACGCTAAAAGCTCATCGCTGTATCGCTCTGAGTCAGAGCAATAATAAGAATAGCCCATCTTAACGGCGACTATAAGCGTCATTAGGTGACCGTGAGGGGCGACCACCCTGATTTTCTCCTCGGGAGCATGATATATTTCCATCGCCTGCCTTCCTCTGGTAAGTGCTCAATGGGCCATTTCTTTCGCTTCGCTAAATGTCTAAGGATAGAGTGATAGTTTCGGCAATTACTTTAAAATGTCTCAATGTCTCGACCGTTCCGGCCACATATCATAATGGGGGGAAGGCCGTTTCTTTAGCTACCAACGCGTTTTCCCCCCGTTTTGTCCTCCAAGCCCAAATGTGATAGAGAAAATAATTTTTTTGTTGCTGTAACAAGCTACAGGGCCAGTAAGATCACTTAGAACACTTTTTGTCACTTTTTTTAAAAAGATTGCTAAAATCATCAAATAAGAATGATTTAAACTAATAATAAAGTTCATAGAACTTGTTCTTATTTAACCCTGTATTTAACTGGAAGAAAATGTACTTCTTTCAGTATCTTAAGGAAAGTATGCAGAATACATTTAGTTTCTGTTGAATATGTTATTTGTGTTTTTATCAGTATAACGCAGATCCGACCGACTGTCGATGTTCCATCAGTTTACACCTACCCTTCTCAAAACAAAAATAAAGGAAACGCATCATGTAAAACACTTGGAACTGATGAGGAATTCGATAACTTTGGGAAGAATAAATTACTACGTGTCCGTTGGAGCTAAAATTTGTCTTGTTGAGTTGTACTATCTAGATAAGAAACCGATAAAGCGACACGGATCCTTAGGTATAAAATAAATTTTCGTCGGTACTCAAAAAAAATATATTTCAGTGAAACATCCAACGCGGCTCTACGTAAACATAAACCTGTTATTTACTCAGCTTCATTAACCGCTGACTTTTTACTAGAAATCGGTACGCAGACACATTTGTCGTCCCAAGAAAACACCGTGAAACGGTGCTCGCCATTTAGACGTGGCTATAAAAGTTTCGCTGGCTATTTGTTCTTTAGTGGTTTTGGTTTCCCTTGTTGTTTTCTTTGCTTCCTCGGCTTTTGTTGCCTCTAACGGCTAATTCAATATTTCTGTCCCGACTCCGGAAGCGTGGGCAGTTTTTGCGCCTTTGGGTGATTTATAAAGTGGCCCCGACTAACTAGTAGCCTCAGCGACTGGATTTAGGACGAAAATGGAATTATCTCCCTTTTAGAGGCGCCGCAATGGCATAACTACTCTCCAGTTCTATAAGTACGTATATTTTTTCATACGTATCTACGAGAAGTGCCACGGTGTCTTTGTTTATCTGACACCTTTTCGTTGCGATATTCGACAACATATTTGACAATGTTTCCGGACATAAATACTTACATTTTATTTTCTTTTGTTGTCCAAAAAGTTAGAATGGCGAGGAAAATATTCTTAAAAACTAGATCTACATTTTGATATACCTTGAATGTTTCTGTTAATTGTAAGAAAACCTATTGTGAGATTTAACCTGAAAGAAGTAGCCACTAGTAGCCCAGAAGTCAGACAGTTGTGCGAGAGAGGGGGCAGCATATTATTATTCAACAGACCGCAATTGACTTATCCGTAAAATTAAATTGCTAATTCAAAATGGTGCACAATTTTTATCTTTATTATCCTCGCTGATGGAACCGCGGCTAATTCGGTTTAACAGCATTCCCCACAATCAATTTCCGTCGTCAAAGTTAATTTTTATTGAAGTTTAACCGCCGCCGCCTCGCGAGCTCATTCAAGTGTCGCCCGGAGCGATCTAGGCTGGGGTAATGTTAAGTACCAAAGCCATCAGATGTGGTAACGGTATAAAAAACACGTCACCCCAGAAGGAGGGTCAGAAAAAATGCCATAAAGTCGTACATGAATATTAGATTAAGGGACCTTGAAAAAACTTTGAAAAGAAAGATCATTACGGCGTGTTCCTCTAGTGTTAATTTTAAGCTGATGGGGGAGAGTGGTTCGATCGAGGGGTTACCAAACACACAAGCATAATGTGCTCCGTGGTTATAAAAAGATTTACAATGAACTACAATTGATTTTAGCGACATCAATGTTGGTAAACCGGGTGCTAGTTTTATTTATTTACAATCAAATTCCAGTCCAGTTTATTTCCCCCATAGAAAGAATACATTTAAAAGACAAAATTCTGTGATAATAAATAAAATGAAAGAAAGGAAAAATAACATAACCAGAATACTAAAACTGTATATTGGAATAAGCGTAATTGCAGTGATATATTTTTGACACTGGCTTTCTCTTGCATTTGCTAGAGATGCATTTCGCCAATTCCCTCTTGAAACTTCCCAAACCCATGGCCTAACGCGTGATTTCCAATCTATCCAACAACAGTAATCACACAGCCCCCGCCTACTTCCTCAATAACTCTCCCCTAATATTATTTTC